GAACCAACTGTCACATGGAATAACTGGCTGAGGGTTAAAGTAGCGAGTTGATTAAACTATAGCCTTGCAGAGCATTTCTTATTACAGAGTGTCTGGGTATTTTAAAGCAATCTACATTGTTGTGCATTTATTTTTCATTGAATTAGTACTCTGGGATCTCTGCCCAAGTGTTTTCTACTTGTTTTTTGCAGTGAGGCTATGGATGGCAAAGGAAGTGATGCCAGATTAGTTACAATATTTCTATGTGGAGATTTCTTATGTGCTATGAACCTAGCCTAAAGGGACAGAGATGTTAAATTCAATTATTTTCATAGTGACTTATTTGGAGCTAATGTTAGGATGACATTCATATAGCGCAAACTATATAGAATAAAACGTTCTCAATTGTGTGGGTTTTCCCTCTTGGGAAAGCTCTGTTCAAAATAATCTAGCATATAAAAAAGAGCTTTCAACACTAATTCAGGAAACAAGAGGGAATGTTTATATTTTACCTTTCCTCCCTTTCTCTTCCACCAGTAAGTTTTTAAGCAAATTGTTCTGTTTTCTCTGGCTTCCCCAAGCTTTATACTGCAGATAGGGCAGTTTAAAAAAAAAATGCTAATTTAAATAAAGATCCAACTGTGATGCTGCATTGTGGAACTTGTGGGCTCATTTTAGGCCTTCTGTTTGTGTTTCTTGATTCCCCCAGTTCCCAGATGTGCAGTGACTCATCCTACTGAACAATGGGAACAGCATCCCTTATTCCTTCACTTGGTCCCAGTTGGCAAAACCGTTACTCAGAGGTTATGTATTGCAGAGGGAGAAGAGATTAGCAGTGAGAGAGTGAATCATCCAAGCATTTGTGGTAACTCTTGTGTGGTGAGCAAGAAGTTGAGGAAGAATAATGGTCTATGCTATGCTCTGGTGTACTAAAAATGAGGATCTGATTTGAGTAAAATTCATAACTTGGAGGTCATTCTTCCTTCCCCCACCACTGTTCCGGAAAACACAGGGCATGGGTGAAAGACAGGGTTTTGACATTGTGATTTATTATCAAGGAGGATGAAAAACATAGCTAGCTGGTTTGTATCAGCAGCAACATAGATGATGGTCACCTCAAACTTTGATAGAGCTTTCAAATGTGAAATAAACTATTAGTCAAAAATACAAAACAACAAAAAAATGTAAGTGCAGACATACTTCACTGATATGTTTTGTTGCTTCATATCTGAGGACCATGCTGGTTGAAATGAAATAATGTATTTCAGACTTTAAGAATGTTGTTTATGAATATTGTTAGAATGTTTTTAAAAGGAAACAGTGTCCTTACTAACAGAGAAATAAAAGGTTTGGGTCTTTCTAAATCTGAAAAGACAGAAGCTCAACAGTCTTCAATGAACGTAGTTGATCTGAGGAAGCTTCTTGAGCTGCCACAGTTTTTCGTGACACAGCAGCCTGTAAAAGATTGACATATCTGACCTGAACCTCTTTTGCTTGTTTGAGTGAGCACACCATGATGTGATTATCGTTAGGCATTGAAATATAATTTGGATGGCTTTCATTTCTATTTTGCTGCTTGCAAGCATAGTTTGAAATAGATTGCAATGTTCAAAAGAGCTTCTTTTTTTTTTTTCCACTAGAACTGTTAAAATAGTGTGATTGAAGCTGTCAGTCTGTCAATTTGGTATCTGATGAATCAGTTGCAAATATTGGCTACCACTTCTATAGGAAGTCATGCCAGTAAACCAGAAATAACTCTGAGATCTGGGAAAGGACAGCATTTGAAGTGCGGAGCCAGCTTTTGAGTGCAGTGGAATGGCTAGATGACTTTGGAGAAACACTAACAATTTGCACTGAAAAAGCTAAACCAGATTGTTTGTGTCTTCAAGAGAAAAACGTTGTTCAACATGAGAGCTATCAAAAGCTGATTCGTTTTTATTTTGATGTTAATTTGCCTCGAATGGAAACCCTACCTTGATGAGCCATTTATAAATTCGTTGAGTCTGTGCTTTTAAATATGTAGACATGCACGTGTGGTTTTATGTGTGTATAATACCTAAAGCATGATAGCTTTGTGTAAATAATAGTTTATCAACTGAATTCAAAATTGCATTCAAGTGCAGCTTTATTAAGCTAACTAAATTTGACTTCTAGAGCTAATGAATATTGTGAGCCATTTTTCCACCGTGACAAAGGAAAAAAATAAGATAAAGGAATGTTCAGCTAATACAATTGTTCCAATTAAAAATCCGAATACAAAGCAGCCCTAACACTTGGCATTTCCATGTTTTCCTCATTTAAATACATTACAAATTATTCATCAGGTCAGTTGGTGCCGTCTGCAGTTGGCCTGTGCTGGCTTGTTCCATGAACTGAAATACCTCATGGATTTCCCAGCAGTAACCAACTTTTCAGTGAATCAGACTAAGCTGTGGAGCAAGGTTATGTGAGAAATCTTGGAGCAGGAGCTGAACTCACCAATTCCATAAGCCATAACACAGGACTTGATCAGGGAATCGTCTTTGAAGTAGAGAGTTTCAGTGTGTGTTGTGCATTTGGGGTTGTTTAGGGGGGAGGTTTTCTCCCATCAGGTTTGCGTGCTTTAATGTTTTGAGCCTTTCTTAAGTTCAGACTCTCTGGAGCTTATCAAGGATTTGTTGTTTTGACTGGAAGCAGGTATTTTGACTTAAGTACTGGGTGTCTTTTGAATTCTGTGCTGGAAGAGACTATTTGGACCCCTTCAGATCTGTCAGAGTGTGCATATGGTGTTCACACCTGTTCCAGCAACCTGACTTGCGTTGCCCAAGTGTGTTGCAATTACTGCTCAGAATTACCCAGAATGAGTTATTTGGCTTAATTACAATGTTATGAAGGGCTCTATAAGAACCTAGGGAGTCCAGCTTCCCTAAATCACTGCAGAAATGAGCACATATTTTTCTTTCATTAGATTATTTTCTTACCTTCTTGTAAATGTGCAAAATGTTAAACTGATTGATGCGTGGGGCAGGAAATGGGGGAGGCAGAAGCTGTAAATCAGGTGAACTTGCTTGTGTGTCCCGGCAGTTTACATGCATACAGCTGTTTCCTGCTCAGCGTGGGAGGGGATATGGACAAGGCAAGGACTCTTAAAGCAACTGGGTAGAAAGTAGGAACGAGCTGTATCAGTGACAGACAGTTTGCAGCCTTGTTGCACATCTAAAGGCATTGTGTAGGACGAAGCACAATAGATAGAGAAGGGGGGGCTGTATTTTCAGTGACCTGACCTTTTGGGGCTCTTCCATCTCCTAATATGACTAATGCTGTACAGGAAGAACTTTTCTTATTCATGCAGTCTGTGATACCTCTACTGATACAACAGAGTGCCAAAAAATACAGGAAATTACTTTCACCTTATGAAAATTCATGATTGTAAGGAAGCTCTTAGAGCAATTGCTCTTTGGAAACTTCCCCCCCCCCCCCAAGTATTTTTTTTCTGCTAGTGATCCATGGTAAATCTTTTGTAATACATGGTAGGTTTTTGCAAATATGTGCTTTCTCTCTCCTTTGTGAAAAAGCACTTCTAGTTTAAAATGTTAGGAAATAGTAAGCTGCAGGTCTTTTTTTGTCTATGCTTTAGGCTCAAAGTATGTACTTGCACAGTACACTGTATCCTCTGATCTGCAGTGTGATTCTTCAGGGTGAACTGTTGTGCTAGCATCTCTTTGCGGTTGTACTGGAAGGGAATAAATCTGTTTTGCTAATGGTGTAGAGGAGAGTGGATGGTTTAAGAATTTAGATTTGCTGTTGGAATCTGAGATGGTATTTTGAGAACGTTCTCATTCTCAGTTGGTGACTTGGTGAGGGCACCTACTGTCACTTGGGTCGTTATCAGCACAGCCCTGATCTGGGATGTAATGTGATTTGCTGCCTAAAGTGATTAAAAGACAGCAGGATTTTTCCATTATATCATTCTTACAACATGGACACAACTGTAAGACATGCATCTTAAACAATGAAGAATACTTTCTTACTGAACAGATCGTCTTCATTTGAAGAAATGAAAGGGAAGTGTTTCAATGAGAACGGGCTTCTGACAAAGATAATTTCACTCCAGAAGTAAAGTCTTCATCTATGTGGAAACAATCTTTTTACTTCTACAAAGTACATAAAGGTCTTCCTATATCCACTTATGTGAAGTGGCACTTGATTTGAGTGTGATACATGGGCAGGCTTGTTGAGAGAAAAAACCCCATACTGCACAAAACACAAAGACCCTCATGCATTTTCACATAAGAGCAAAGCTTCTGTGTAAACGCTGTCTGTATTCTTCTCAAAATAACTGCTAAAGGATTTTGTACAAGATGAGCACATCATCATTAGAATGAACCTAAAAGGGAAACTATCTGTAAAAGAGTAAATCCTTCAGAATGTTCCCTTTTTTCTTTTCTTTTTTTTGACAAGCAAGTCTAGCTTAAATGTTCACAAATTGCAGGTGACTTAAATCTTTCCCTTTTCTAAAGAAATGCCAACCAGTCTGGGTATGCTTTTGTTCATGGCTATGAATTTTAAACAAAATGCATTGGTTTCTTACAAACATGTTTCATTTTTACTCCCACCCAGTGGCAACTAACTGCATTCATCATACAAGGAGAAAAGTAATTCTTTGTGTCAAAAGACTGACTTCAGCAACACTTCTTTGCATTGTAAAGATTTACTAGCTAGATTTGAGTATTTAGTGAGATCTCTATTCAACTTTGATTCTTCTAGAACCTGTAGGGAATTGCTTGTGGAAGAAATATTACCTTACCTCCATGGTGGTGGTATGTTCTGGCAGCTCCACTTCATTATCAGCAGTTTATGTGAATTAAGATATGTACTCCTAGTGTTCCAGCTCCTGAAGCATATCAAGATGTTGCCCAAGCTTCCACTTGTGCTACTGCTCTGTGAGACCTCCATGCATATTGAAAGTGAAAGGCTATAGTTTAGTTGGATTTGCTATCCTATAAAAAAAGCTTAATTCCTGTCTCATTCCTTTTCCACAGGGTGAATCGGTGAAATACTTCCTGGATAACCTGGATCGGATCGGTCAGCTGGTAAGATGTATCTTCTCTTTCTGAACCGAAAGAGCTCGAAGAGATATTTGAAGCCTGGGTGTGCTATGATTAGTGGGATTTGATGTTCGGAATTTTTTGTAACAATGCATTAAATAACATCAGTATTCTTTCTTTAGGAATAGTAAATTCCACCCTTATGAAACTGAAGCTTAGTGTTTGCTTCATCTTTTTTGACAAATGACAAATACTGTTTATGGAAGTTGTATTTGTGCATGTATTTTATCAATTGTTCTATACAGCCTCTGGATCTCATTCACTTTTCCTGACGATCTGATGGATGCTGCTACTTGAGGTATCAGAACTAAACCTTACCAAATAAAAATAATTGCCAGCAGTTGCAGGATTCCAAATCTGTAATGGAAACATCTGCCAGGAGACTTGGAGGACAAAGAAGGGACATGACTTTCCTAAATAGTAACAATGATAAGCTTTCGAAGAACAAACCTCTCTACAGTGGTGGGCTGGGCCAGAGCCTGTGGTAGAACATGTTGCTGTACTTGCTGGTCATAGAGTATGAACCTGGGAGAAGTACTTCCACTAAAGCTTGCAAGATCTCCTTTGTAAGAGTAATGAATTGTAAAAAATATCCTTTCAGGGATGACTTGATCTGCTTTACTGAACACTTCCTAAATGGCGATTATGCTGTAGCTAAGAATTTCTTGGTAAAAAAGTAGATGTCAGCCTGAAAACGGGAGGCTTGAAACATAGAACTCTGAATGAGTGCATTGGTCCTGTATTTTTATTCTTGTATGTCCCAGGATCTTCCGTAGCTGTCTACAAGTATGTTGAGATAAATGATCAACAGCTCATTATTTAAAGTTGAGTATTCCTTCTTCACTTGTTCATAGAAAAAACATGATTCCTGTTGATTGCTCCTATTGTTTCAATATTCTTGCAATAGCCAGCGTTTTTGAAGGACAGTTTTTTGACGCTCTTCTCCTTTTCTCTTACAGAACTATTTCCCCAGCAAACAAGATATTTTGCTGGCTAGAAAAGCCACCAAAGGGATAGTAGAGCATGACTTCATCATTAAAAAAATACCTTTCAAGATGGTGGATGTGGGTGGACAGAGATCTCAGCGTCAGAAATGGTTCCAGTGCTTTGATGGAATAACTTCAATTTTGTTTATGGTCTCCTCTAGTGAATATGATCAGGTTCTGATGGAAGACAGGCGCACAAATAGACTTGTGGAGTCCATGAATATCTTTGAGACAATAGTTAATAACAAGCTTTTCTTTAATGTTTCTATTATCCTATTCCTCAACAAGATGGATCTTCTTGTAGAGAAGGTAAAGACTGTCAGCATTAAGAAGTATTTCTCGGACTTCAAAGGCGACCCTCACAGGCTAGAAGATGTTCAACGTTATCTGGTGCAGTGCTTTGACAGGAAGAGGAGAAATCGTAGTAAGCCGCTCTTCCATCACTTCACCACTGCCATAGACACTGAAAACATCCGCTTTGTGTTTCATGCCGTGAAGGACACGATCCTTCAAGAGAATCTGAAGGATATTATGTTGCAGTGAAGGAAAACAGGCAATGTTCTGTTAAAGTTTGCCAGAGGGTTAGATCAAAGTTTTTATCCTTTCTTTATGGCCCTTGCATGTGGTGTAGGACCCATGCTAATTACTTGGCTCAGGAATGCTGTAAACTAGCCAGTCCAAACAGAGGAGCTATAGGCCGAAGGAGTCAAATGTTGATGTTAGCTACTGAATCATTTGGACTAGAAACACTACTGAAACATGGCCATTGTAGGTTCTGTACCTAGTTTGGAATGCTGAATAACACAACCACCTTCTGCCTTCTTAGAAAAAAGAAATCTCTGACAAACCATGTATGGAAGACATGTTTTAAATGAGTATGCTCATTTTTCAGAGACACTAGTCATACAAACTGCCTTTTTTTTTGTAGTTTGGAGGTGCTGAGTCGATCAAACTAATGTTAAACCTAAGAGATTGGCAGCTCTAATGGAGAACGTTAATGGAAGTTCTGTTCTTAACCCTTAGCTTTGCCAAGAGGTCTGGAATCCCCTTATCAAGGTGGATGCACAGCCTTTGTCTGAAGGTTTTGCATGAGTCTCCTAAGGCAAAAGTATGAAACCATGTAATGAAACCAGTATTGGAGTAAATTGGGGGGAAGTTAAGGATATGGAGAAGGGTTTATTTTGCACTATGTGTGAAGGGTATTGTATCATGGGAAAACTGATTTCCTTGGTGAAGCAGCCTGTGCTAGAGCACCTGACCATGTATCTGCCCAGTGGGTGCTCAAGTGAGATGTACGTGATGGAAATTGAGCACTGTTCTCGCACCCACAGTTGGCAGTGTCTGTGAAGGTTTGGTATCTTGTGTAGCAGGGCTTTATCTATATTCAGAACTTTGAAAGCTGATTAAACTCTTAAGCAAAGGTTTTGGTAGTACAGCAGCTGCTTGATTAGTTCCCAAGAGCTGACCTTATAGGAAGACTGAACACCCTAGAGATCCCAGTTTTACAGCTGCACTGATGTGTTTGGACAGCAAGACCTTGCTGTAAAATTAGCCTTTAATCTGTGTCTTAATGGGATCTTTAGCCTATAGTAATGCACATGGAATTCTGAGTACAGTAGAGTTTGGTGTTGCCCATTTTGGGCAATGGTTTGTGTGTCAAATTGCAAGAGGCGATGGATAATATTGATATGAACTGTTTTTTTCCTAGCACACTCAATCAGTGAAACTGTCAGGTGCCTTTTTTGTGTACAGACATATCTGATCTTTTCTACTACAGTGGGGAACATGGACAAACTGAAGATCTGCCTTTCATATCAGCACTGTAGTGCTATCCTTTAGGTAACTTTCAAGTAGTTTACTGTGCAGTTTTTGTCACAGTTTTTATCCAAGAAGAAAACCTGAAGGGCTGTTTGTACCTATAAAAAGTCAACAGATTCCCTGGAGTTCTTATCCCCTTTGAGCCTGCAGTGGCATGTCAAAACAAGCAACATTTTACTTCAGCTGGTAATCCCATGGGAAATGTGGTCAAAAAAAAGTCCTGTTCTGTTATCCTTTCATGTTAATTTGGATAAAATCTGGAATCTTTCTTCCTCTCTGAAGCTTGCAGATGTTCTTATCAGTATTTTTGTGTACTTTCCTAATGTAGCAGTCTTTTGGCTTTGTGGAGGCTTCAGAGTGGAAAAGATGTGGCTATTTCAGTGCTGTGCAACATGCACAATATTGAGGTAAGAAGCAACTGAAAAAGTTACAGTTAGAAAAGTTTGACTTCAATTTTGAGCAATCTTAAACAGGGATTAACTTCCTTGTATCAAGTCTTATTTTTGCCAGGACCAACTCTGTCTTAAATATTTACTCATTTTTAACCTCAGAGGGGAAATATTTTAATGTGACTCTAATATTCAGATGGGGAAACTCTTAAGATTACTACAATTGAAAAGGTGAATGTTTCAACACAGAGTGAAGCAAACCAGTTTACTTAGATTCAAACCTCATGTAAGGTTTGTTTCTCTAAGCTGAAGACCAAGACTGTTTTCAAAGCTTTCAGATATTCTTGGAGTTCTTGGTAGTAGCTTCCACTTCACTGGGAAAGAGGAGGCAGTTGTGGGCTGACCTGACTTCTAGGTTGACTTGACTTTATTTCCTAGCTTGCTGTGAGCTTTATTCTTTCACTACATTTTCTACCTGAGTTGATGAGTTAATACTATGCTTGTTTTCTCGAGTGAATTCAACATTCCCTTTCATCTGTATTTGTTTTCAAGAATTACCTCAGTTTTATGTCTGAATCTACTGTAGTTTTACTGGGAGGCATAGCATAAAACTTCCTGTTCTGTTTTTTCTCTTGATACTCATCCATTATTATGTATCCTTAGTCACCTTATGGAATTAAAACTCTGAACAGAGCTAGTAATACAACTGCCATTTTAACTTAAAATCTGTACCTGGAAAAGAAACAGCATGAGATATCTCATATTGAGCTCTAAAGCTTGTTTTTTTGTACGACACAGCAGTTTTGCACACTAAATCAGAGTTTTAGGGAACCAGTTTGTTCACCTCAAGCCCACTATTGCCTTTCTTCTTGTTACTGATAAAATGGGCCTAAGCGTGGTGTAGTAGACTGCAGATGAAAGTCAGTAGTTTGGCTCTGTAGGCTCTGTGTTCTGTTGGACTTTGATAGGGATGGTTCACACCAGGATCCCAAGTTTAGGAAACTCTCCTTGCAAAAGTCAAAGCACTTCTCAAGTTTGCAAAGGATCTGGCAGATGAGCAAAAAGGACTTGTTTTTTTTGATGGCATCTTATTCTGCAAAATACACTCCACTTCCTGCCAGTATGGAGGGATTTTGTGTTTGGTTTTTTCAAGGTAAGCTGTAGTAAAATAAAGCCAGAAAATCATGTTATGGTAAACCAGTTAATTACTACAGCAGAACTTAGGTAGATTAGGTCGTACAAACATCTCAAGGCAAGCTTGGTTGGCTGCTTAGTCCTTTCACAAGAAACAAATAGCAAACTTTATTTTAAGTGACATCCTGGAGAACTGTGCAGGTCAACACAGCTGGAGAGAACATCTTTTCTTCTCAACTTTGTAGTCTTATTGTTCATCTGGCTAGTCAGGAAATGGGTCACAGGCAGGAGGATAATCAGACGGAGACCTTGAACTGCTACTACCTACTTTAAAGAGCAGCCTTTTGCTGTCCCTCCTCTCACCCGCCGGTCAATGTCCAGTGGCAGGGTGTTGCACTCGGGTTATCTGTCGCAGGGACAAAGAGAGGAAGTGCTTGCAGTGTGTGCTTGTAAGAGAGACTTACGTAGGCTTGCAGTTTTAAGTAGCAGAAACTAAATGGGAGTAATTTATCAAACACTACTTTGTATCTGTTGTCCTCAAAACAGACTTTAAGCTAATATAGTGTCAGTCATTCCTTCAGATTGCAGTGCTGTCATTCTCTGAACAATTCTTAGATGGCATTATGAGGTGACATGGTGAATTGGAATTAAAAAGGAAGAATATTTCTCTGCAAGTGACGTATTTAATAGGCAGTTGTCACTTTGAAGGAATTAAATAGCTCTTAATGTTGAAAATGAATTAATATTGATTACAGAATAGAAGTTAGTGGCCACTCCGAAACCTGAAGATGCTTCCAGTTTGATAGAAAGAATTGGTGATGTTCTATTTAATAGATAATTTGACTAATGAACTTAGAAATATATTTAGGATTTTTGAAGTAATGCTGCATAAAACCTAGAACTAAGTGTGTTATGAGCATAAAGAAGCTCCTGAAAACGACAGTTCACAGGCTTTCTGAGCCAAATAAAGACTGAACCTCAGCCAAGCAGACAGAGTGGAGAAACAAATGGCAAAAAGCCTGTAGTGAAATGGAGTAGGAAGAGCTCATCTGTATCTGGCATTGCAGGCAAAAATGTCATGTCACTAGGATAGCTAGATTAGGTTTTGGTATGAAAACCAGTCCTGGTTACTGTAATCTGCAAAGAATTGTAGGATTTATAAATGAAAGAATAGACATTGAACCACTGAAGAAACTAGCAGCTTTCTTTACTGACAGGCAACTACCTTCCACAGAATTCCATTTTAGAAAACAAGTCCTTTGCTGCCTTTCGATGGCTGTCTTTGTGGATATTAACTCCAAGTTTTGGAGTCTTTCCTATGGATGTATCTCTAGTTCTCCTGGAAAAGACAAACCATTCTGCTGCATGGCACTACAGGATTTCTGTAAAAGGCCCCTCTGATTTTCAAGCTTTGACACTTGACTTAGCTTTGTGTCCTCAGATTTTCAGGAGCACTTCCTGGGTTGAAAGACACCATGCTGCATGCCAGCTTGAGACATGAACACGATATGGAATAACACCTCCATCCATTTCAGCTTGTCATGTAAGCCAAACACTGATCTCTTATGATGAGAACTATATTGATTCCTTGAAGTTTAGTGGGAGCCTCTTCTCTATATCATTTTCTAGTACAAAATCACATGGTGTAGTCAGGGGTTTTAATATAGCACTGCCAACTCTTTACCTCAGTACACTCTATTAATTCTGTAACACAGAAAGTGGTGGGTAGGACGTTTCAGTAGCAACTCTCAAACATCAGTGCCTACGTTTGTAAATGAGTGTTTAACAGGTTTCTAGGGAGCATCCAGTATGGATCAGGAAGACTGGCATGGTCTGGGCCAGCACTGGCCTGAATTAACATTGACTCCACACACTTCTAGGTGAGGACTGTCTAGCCTAGTGAGGAAGTAATTGATAAGACAATACAAGACCTAGTGCTTTTTAATATTACCTGTTTTGTAATTAGCTGGGGTGATATCTGCTTTGTGCTGTGAAGTGGGCACTTCTTTGTTTTAACACTAATCTTTTTTGCATAGATGGAAGTGAGTGAAGCCAGGATATTTGGAGCTGAAACTGCCACTCTGCTACCCAGGTTGATGCTATCTCTTTGCTTATCTTGGTGGTTGGACAGTTTAGCTTGATTCTTGACTTTTTTTTATCTTTCTATAATGGCATTTGGAAAGCAGTGTTGAAGTTTGTCTATGTGTTGATATGCTTGTTTTCTTATTGGGTGGGGAGTATGGAAGTATTAGATTGTCAGTGCTAGTGGTTCTGTGCCTGGCTTGGTGAACTGTATCACAGCCTAGCTCTTGGCATATGTCTGAAGGCCGTATCTTCTGTCTGATGTGAAAATATTCACAGCCAGAGAGAAAAAAAAGAGCAGCACTGACTTCAAGGTGGGCATTCTGGTAAAAAAGCCAAAGTATGTTGGAAGGGAGCAGGAGGGGGGAGCTATTTTTAAACAGATCCCAAAAGCTGATGATGTTTGGAGACTGTATTGAAGTGAAATGCCATCTGCATTGACCCTAAAAGCTTTGAATGACTCCAGAGAGCTATTGGCTGTGAATTAACAGCAGCAGGTTGGCAAGGCTGTGGCTCTGCTGCGGCTGCACACCCTTCCATTGTGAATCTCTCTTCATCTGCTCGTAGCTGGTGCCAAAACTCAATTCCTGCTAAAATACAATTTGCAGATCTCTGGCCAGTCAGTGCATCTTACTCCTTTCTAACAGCTACTTAAGCTTTCAAGATATCAGAGCATGAGAAGTATTCCAGGAGAATGGCTAGGTAAGAGACTGTTTCCATTATTGGAATGAGAACTACAACTGATGGAGAGCAAATCTTTTTGACAAGTAGGACGTGAGAGAGCATCTTATGAGGGAAGTAACAGATTTTGAATAGCATTGCTTCTCTGCTGGTACTTTCCATCAATCTCTTGTGCTGAGCTTGTGTGCAGGCAGTTGGGCACAAAGGCTGAGAGGAGGTAGCAGGGAGAAGGGGGATGTGGAAGAGAAATGATCTTTTGATAGCTCACAAGACTTGGAAAGCATGGTGATGGACTTAGGTTTGAAAACACGTGTTCAAACTCCCATTTGCATTGAAGCCATTAACTCTCTTTAGGATAATGAGTGCTCTTCCAGTGAACAGGTTTTGTTACCTGCAATGTGTAATGAGTTTGAATTGCTGATACAGGTTAAGAAGTATTTCTGGAGACTCCACTTAACAAAATGGCTAGTATTTATTGCTCTTGTGATGAGTTGTCTTGTTTATGGAATCAATATGTATGAAAGCAAACTGACAAAACACAAAGTTATCTCGTGACACAATCATGTAGCTAGGAAGCCAATTAACGTTATCTTTTATTCTGCAATTTACTTGCTCTCTGGTGCCTATGCATTAACACACATACTATGCAATATCATTCTTTTTTTAAACCAGTTCACTGCATTGGGCAAGAAAGGCCTGAGTTTAGCCTTAATTTTCTAACAATTCACAGGAAAGTACTTAAAAAACAGTGACAAACTAAAAGAAGGTGAAAAATGCATTAAGTAAAAGCACAGTTCCAGACTGCTCACATAAGTGTCTTTCTAGCACCAAAACAGCATCCATGATAGAAGCAGCTACTTGCTGTAATAGTTTCAATTTACGAAAACTGTGTACTAGATAAAATTATATTGTGATGTGTAAAAAGTGTATTTTATAGCTTTGGTGACTTAGTTTACTGTTTTGTATATATGAATTTTATAAATCTATTAAAACTTGACTTGTTATTCTGTTCCATGGGTTTTCTCTTTCAACAGTCTAAAGTGATGGGGTTTGCTTCATTCAAAAAGTACCTGCAAGAGAGACACTTTTGGAATGAGTTACGGCATGGGCTACATGAAACTACAGCCATCATGCAACAAAATCCTGTTCTGTAACCTTTATGTACCTCCGTTCTCTCCAGTTCTGCCCTGAATCATTCTTCCCAAGTGTATCCAGGAACTGAAGGCTGGTGAAACATTAACCTATATAAAGCTTCCAGTTCATTTGCCTGTACCATTTCAGAAGCTGACTTAAGCGTTAGAACTGATGGGAAGTGGAAAGGGAGGCACAGCTAGAGTTCGTGCTTATGTATTTTAAGCTCAGCAAGAGAAGATAATTAAGCCTGTTGAGTTGGCAGCACCTGTTAGAGATTCCTCTTCTGCTGTGTAGCATCTGATAATAGCCATGGAACTCTCCTTGCTTCTTTTCCTGTGCCATTCCCCTCTATTGCATGCTGTGGTATCTCATATGGCAGTGCTGAACCACTGACCTTTAGAGAGTCATCTGTATCCCTGTCTTAAGGCATTGCCACCCTGGCATCAACTAACTCTGCCAGCTCCAGTTCTTAGGAATGTTGTTAACCTTTCCTCGCTTGCACTTGAAAGGTCACATCTGGCAGGCTTTTGTGGCAAGTCTTAGTTGTTTCCTGTGTAGACTGTTAATGCTTAATCAATTACATTGGCAGGTACACAATGGGAGACCCTTCATGGAGTTTGTCCTTTTTGCTGATCATTAGAATTGTTAGGTCATCAGTTACATCAAGCTTTTGGGAATGGTTGACTCATTCTTACTGGAGATGCTGAGCATTTCAGGTAGCAGTGTGCGTTGGTGGTGGTCAGCACCTCTGAAAATGAGGGCAGATAAATTGCAAATCCAGTATGTAGTAGTAGGGGGCTTGCAGGTGTGGTCATGTTCTTTCTAATCTGAAAAGCTCTCAGCAGCATCTCCAGGTGATCTCTTTGGTCAGCTCCATGAAAGCAAATTTAACCCTTTTCTGAGCCAAAATATCCTTGTGAATTACAGGCCTACAACATAGCATATAGAGAAAGTATAGCAGGTTTCTTAGTGGAGCGAGTAAAGAGCTCTTTGTGACAATACCTGCTGGAGCTCAGTGTTGTGCCAAGCTGTTGAGATCTTTGAATGACAGACAGGTAAGTGGCTGTTTTAAGTTGCGCTTCTGCCCTCTCTAAAGTTGGTTGGGGTTTGGTTGGTTTGTATTGATGGAGTTCGTCTGAATTGCTGAACATCCAAACTTTAAATGAAAATAAGACATTCTTTGGAGTGCCTGCCAAGCTCAGTCCTTTCCTAGTTAGCAGTCACATACCAATTTTGGTGGGACCTACGTTACTTGGAACTCACCGTGAGAGGCTTGAATCAAGGTATCTTAGTGACACTGGTTTTCCATACTTGCCAGTATTTCTGTACCTCGGACTATCTCGCTTCACACAGGAAAGATGTCCCTTCATAACTGAGCTGGACAGATGTTGCCCTGTAAGAACAAAGGCTGAAGCAGTCGGTTCTGCAGGTAGGTTTGTCTGTTCAGGACCAACAAATGCTTGTACCCCAGGGAGAGCCTGAACTCAGTGTATTAACATTGAATTCTCTTCCACAGCTCAGCATGGCTCCCTGTTACTAGAACATCCCTTCTGCAACTTCAGTAGTGCAACACTTTGAAGATTAAAGGGAAACATGGCTATTTCCCTAGGGAGAGGCTTCTCTAAAATGCAAAGTAGGCAGGGCTGTGTAGCTTGTGTTTTTGCTGAAGTGTTCAGGGTGTAAGGTTTGGATTGGTTTTAGTAATATTGAGGTATTAATTACACCTCTTTGAGGAGGCAAATGAAATCCTTGTGGTTTCTAGCTCCAGTCTGGTGCTTCGTTATCCTGCACAGACCTGAGAGGAAGTTTATCCAGTTACTAACAAAAGTGATCAAATTTCTTGCCACTCTGCCCCAGCCTGATTAGCATCATGGAAAGCTGTGTGGTTCTAAGGGAGGAAGAGTTGTTAGAAAGAGTGTGCTTTCTTTTAAAGCCTTGCTTTTGCACAGCAGAAACAGACTTCAGTTAAAAGTACCATTTTTAGGGGAGGGAGATGGTCACATACACAGTTAAATCAGAAAGTGCTGGATGCTGGTAATGAAACGTCTATGGAAGACGCTGTTTTTTCCTCTCCTACCTTTGCAAGCTGCTATAGGTGATTCACCCCTAACTAGCAAAGAGTCTGGGGTTTTGGGGTTGTTGGGATGGTGGGGTATTTTCCCTTGACAGTTGCACTATACCCTACTCTCTTCAGTTACAGCAGCTTCTTGTTTTAAGAGTAGGACTGGAATGTTCAGCCTGTTTATTCTTGGGAAAAGATATTTGACTTTATGAGCTTGTAAAGCTATTAAAAGACTGTTTTCTGCTCTGTCCAGGATTATAGGCTTCAGAAGTTGCTTCAAAACAAGAATCCTTGAGTGTGGGGCAGAAAGGGTATGACTGGAGTTGCTTTGATCACTGAGGATGCTCTAGGTAGCCACAGGATGATGTTCTGAGTTAGACGAGTCTAACGTGAATCTGTGTTGGAATAATCCCGAAGGCAATGGTACATGAAAGATAACAGCAGCTTCAGGAGGGAGTTGTGTTTCTGCTGGGGGATCTCCTAAAGGTAGAGTTTACTTCTATTTACTTGTTAACAAGGCATCATAGATCATGAGGCAGAGAAACAGAAGTGCTGCTTTCCTGGGGCTGCTCTGTGGCAGTCTGCTGGTATTGTTGCCTTTTGGGACTGGACTCCTTTCCCATTTGGGTGCCCAGTTCCTTTTAGTGCCTGTCTTCTTGCAGAAGGCTCACCAAACTGTGGCACCCAGGTTTTCCTACCTACTGCCTTACTATACAGTGAAACTGTTCCTGGATGGTTTGTAACTGACTCCGGTCTCGGATGCTGAGTTGCAAGTAACTTTTGGGTGTGCACTTTTATATATAGAATACCCTACTACTTCTTGCTGATGGCTGATCCACAGCGTGACTTTCTGAAATGCCTCCTAAGTATCTCATCTGTATTTCTGTTCCACAGCTTACTCAGCAGCTTATTAGCTGCAAGTTCTGCTGCTGTTCCCACACTCATCTAAGTAGAAGTGTATCTCCCTGGAAACCTGCTGCTTAAAATGTGGGAAATCTTATTAGGGGCTTACCTTCCATTTGTTTTACTTCTAATGTCTGTCGGGTGTTTCCTGCCCTGCTACAACTCTGGTACATGCAGGAAGGGACAGGAATTGCACCTTTGTGCTTTAGTCCTGATTATAACCTCGATTTTCTGTGTAACCTTAGTCAGTTGATGCATTCCTCTGTGTCCCAGGTTGCCTCCATTCCTTACTCACCCCGATGTAAACTGTGTAGTGTAAGTACAAAGTATTAGTTACAGACTCTGGGAGCAAAATGTTGCTGTATCATACAGCAGCAGCACTAGAAACCTTTACTGATGAGATTAGTCACCTCCTTGGGAATGTCTTTGCATGAACCACCTGAAGTACAATATTGCATGGACCTTCTCTCTTATAGCTGCTGAAGGACTTTAAAGTGTATTCAACCACTTTCTGCCTTTCACTGCGAAGTTGCATCCTGCCTGTAGATCCTCCTGAGCTGCCCACGGGAGAAGGTGAAGCTCTTGAGTTGCCATGTGAATCTCTGAGTTGCCATGCTCATTTATTTCTTACCTGGAACACTTCTGAACAAGCTGAGCTGGTAAGTGATGGTTCTGTCAGTGATGGTGTCAAAAATACCTTGGTGTTGGTAAGCAACAGCTCTTCAGCAGGAATTCATGCTTTTGCAGCAGAGCTGACATGGGTCTGTAAGCCAAGTGTCACATAAGGAGTTTCCCACCTGTGACCTCTGCCACTTCAATTTGTTTCTGTGCCACCCCCTTTCTCTGCTGTCTTTGGACTTTGTTATGGTGGAAGGCTGCCTCCTTCCCTTCCCTTAGGCAATATTGTCATCCTGAGTTTATGGCCTCTTTCTGGAAAGCTTCTAAAGTTCATCCTAATGATTCAGTGCAGAAACAAGTACTAGCAAACAGGGCTGAGCAAACAGTAATCTCTTGCTTAAAATAGTAAATCTGTTAGGACAACTGAGTGAGCATGGGGGCTGTACATGGATTTGTAATTCAAGCAGGATTTGCTTGGGAAATTGCTGCTGCTGGGAAGAATGTCTTGGATGAGAAACCCATGGAGCTGATGTTGCCAGGAGAGGGCGGCAGCAGCGGTTCTGCAGCTCCGCGCCTGCGTGAAGGCTGGAAAAAATGCTTCCAGGAATTGCCGTCATCCGTCCCGGAGCCAAAACTGCCTTTTTCTCCCTGTATGAATCATACGGATGTGAAGTTGTTTGTATTTCCGGAATACAGTTTATTGGGAGATCATCCTTCCTGCTCACCTGCATGTGTTAATCTCAAGCTTTTTTCAGATGTCTTCCAATGATCCTCTCCCTTCCTGCTCCAAATGTACATAGCAGGATCACTGCATGGTTTGAGGCCTTCAAAGTGCACAGGGCAGAGTGCTCAGGAAAGCCAAAGCTATTAGGTTCTCTAAGGGAAACATCCTCCCTCTCCTCCTAGCTGAACTGGACCCAGTGCTACCTGCTGATATGTTTAAATGGGAGCGATCTGGAGCGTGGCCATGTAGCTGCGAGCTGCAGAGAGCGTTATCAGTGCTGAGGTCTGGGTGAACAGGGGATGGAGAGAGCCGGCCTTCCCCTGTGTGTTGCTGTTACAGAACTGGAAAACCCATTGGCCTCTTGAGCTCTCTCTATAAATAGCTGGAGGAACGGCATGCCCCGGGATGGGGAGGCAGGCTCTTTAGCTCCCGGTGCCAGCGCAACACCAGTTCCTGCTCAGTGGGTGATTTGTGGAGCAGAGAAGAGGGGAAGGGCCAGGGTGTTCACTTCTCAGGGCAGAAAGAGGAGTGCATGTGTAATTCCTCTTTTAAGTTAATAATCA